GGATCTCGACTTCTAGCCTCCAGGACTGTCAGAGAATAAATGCATTGTTTAAGCCACTCAGTCTTTGCTTTTGTTTTGCAGCCCAAGCTGACTGATACAAGAACTTATTAAAAATGAAAGTTCCTGCTCCTTCCTATGGAACTGATCTTGCAGGTCTGTGGTGGGACCCAGGTTCTAAATTGCCTTACACATGCTCCTTGGACCCCGCAGTCCACTCAGAAACACTGCATTCCAGCTTAGGCTCACAGGGGAAAAGAAGTAATAGTATAACGTGGTGCTTCTCAGCCTTTCGGCTTCCCCTACGGCTCAGCTGGTAAAGAATCTACCCCAATGTGCGAGACCTGGGTTTGATCCCTGGGTTGGGAAGATCCCCTGGAGAAGGGAAAGGCTACCCACTCCAGTATTCTGGCCTGGAGAGTTCCATGGACTGTATAGTCCATGGGGTCACAAAGAGTCGGACACGACTGAGCAACTTTCACTTCACTTCTTCTCAGCCTTTATATCATTTTGTCCCTCTAAGACTTCTTAGGCATTATGTTTTTTAACTGCTCCCATTGCTGTGAAATACACCATATCACACCACAGATACACTGGGTATCTGTTTATGTGCTCAGCCTTTGGAGGGCCACAAACCACTGTGTATCTGATTTCAGCCGTAAGGATCAATTTTTGCCCCCATGAGAAGGATATATTGCTCTCACTGAGAATGCATGGGACAGAAAAAGAATTTATATATATATATATATATATACACACACACACACACACACATATTTGTATGAGGAAAGTGCTGCCTGAAAATATCTCACTTATGGGATTGGGACCTTCATCTCATACTACTTACATATTTGCATAAGTTCCAGGACCCATTTTGAGATTACGTGGAGCGGCATGACCAGTGGTGGGTGGATGCTCAGGGTCAAAGTAGGTAGATTTGAGGTCAGTTGTTTTGTCTCTGAGCTAGACTGTCATGGGAGAAGGCAATGGCAACCCACTCCAGTACTCTCTCCTGGAAAATCCCATGGATGGAGGAGCCTGGTAGGCTGCAGTCCATGGGGTCGCTAAGAGTCGGACACGACTGAGCAACTTCACTTTCACGCATTGGAGAAGGAAATGGCAACCCACTCCAGTGTTCTTGCCTGGAGAACCCCAGGGATGGGGGAGCCTGGTGGGCTGCCATCTATGGGTCGCACAGAGTTGGACACGACTGGAGCGACTCAGCAGCAGCAGCAGCAGACTGTCATGAAGCCTGGCTTTCTTGGGTTCTTTATCTGTACAAGTGTGACCCCGATGGTTACAAGCAAAGGCTGTTAAGCAGTTAGAATGGGCGCTGCTAATGGCTCAGTGTTCCACTTGCATTCTCCAGGTGGTGGCACTTCCCCCATTCTGGTTTCATCCTAATCAGGAGAGGTTCAGGTTTGATTTGGTCTCAGACACTGAGTGTCCTCAGGTGGTGTTTTCATTAAATCTGAGATAAAACAATTAAACTTACTTGCTAGGTCATTTGGGGAGCCCTAGATTCCTTCCGCCCACACAGTAATGGAAATGTACTATGGATTTGTATGAAAAGAAATTTGCTTCCTTCTGGCTCACGAAGAAGCCAGTGTCTGCTTGGGAAAGAGATCCCCATGTCTGCTTGGGAAACAGTTCCTCCCATCTGATGCCCATGGGGACAGAAATCCCTTAGGCGGCTGCTCACTCAAGGCCCTCACCATCTTTAAGGACTTGTAGGCAACTGGCCTTAAGTGTCCTGCCTTCTAGAGAGTAAGCTACCCTGATCTGCCTGCAAAAGAGGGCAGATGCAGCTCAGGACATCAGCAGAAAGCCCCTTGTATGTTTGGGTGAACGAGCATCAGCCCGTTCAGCTTAATCATGAACAAGGTAGATTTCTCTTGAAATTCCCACTAGATTTTATATATATATATATATACATATATATATATTTATACACACACACACACATATATATATAAGACATACAAACACATAAGTAGGTATATGGACAGAGAAAGAATTTATACATATATAATCTATGTATATATAGTTAATTTATATATAAAATATATAAAGAATTTGTATATATAGATAGAATTTTTATATAGAGAGAAATTATATATATATAATTTATATAGAGAGGGAATTTTTAAATATATATACAGGGAATTTATATTTAGACAGATACATAGAGAGAATAAAGAAAGCTGAGTGCCGAAGAATTGATGCTTTTGAACTGTGGTGCTGGAGAAGACTCTTGAGAGTCTCTTGGCTTGCAAGAAGATCAAACCAGTCAATCCTAAAGGAAATCAGTCCTGAATATTCATTGGAAAGACTGATGCTGAAGCTGAAGCTCTAATATTTTGGCCACCTGATGTGAAGAACTGACTCATTGGAAAAGCCCTTGATGCTGGGAAAGACTGAAGGCAGGAGGAGAAGGGGACGACAGTTGGATGGCATCACTGACTCGATGGACATGAGTTTGAGCAAGCAAGCTCTGGGAGTTGGTGATGGACAGGGAGGCCTGGGGTGCCGCAGTCCATGGGGTCGCAAAAAGTTGGACACGACGGAGCAACTGAACTGAACTGATAGAGAGAATCTATACATATATATATAGAGAGAGAGGGGAAATCTATATATAGAAAAGTTATATATGTATATATACACGAATTTATATATCTATATGTAGAGATTATATATATGTAGATAATTTATAGAGATAACTTACACATTATATATATGTAAAAGTTATAAAGAGATACATATAAAATACATGTTGAGAATACTATAAAATATTTATATATGTAAATAGAGATACAATCTACATATATAGAAAATGAGAAATACATATATATGTATTGTCATAGTCTACCTGGGCTGCTATAACAAAAATGCCACAAACTGCAGCTCCTAAATAATAGATACTTACTTCTCACAGTTATGGAATCCAGTGTCACCATGCTGGCAGATTAGGTTCTAGAGAGAGGCCAGTTCCCTTCATGGCCATCTATTGTCTGTGTTCTCCTGATAGGATTAGAAAGCTTGGTGATGTGCTCTTTAATAAGGGTACTAATCCTACTCATGAGAGTTCCACCCCATTATGTAATCACTTCTCAAAAAACACCATCACACTGAGGATTAGGATTTCAACATAAGATTTTGGGGACATACATTTAGTCTACAATATTGCAGACTGAATGTTTGCATGTCCCCAGTCAGAGAGGGTTTCACTAACTTCTACTCATCAAGCCTACCAGGTAGCCATGAGGATGAAGTGAGAAGAAAAGTGCACAGTGACACAGCAAATCATCTAAACACAGTGCTCACGAAATGGTGAGCCATTCCCTAAGCACTCTTATACACAGGACGATTCAGAGCTCCAGAAAATGAGCATAAAAGAATGGCTGGTGAGTGGAGCAAAGCACTCCCTGTGTGATTCTCTTTATTCTCCACGAATACCACACTCAACATTTCCGACACCAGATATGTGAGGGTTTTCCCCACACGGGGTGATTGTCTGTGACACCACAGGGGTGTCCTAAAATTCAATTCTGACACTAACTGGAGTTGATGCAGACCACACAGCGAGGGGTACAGTCTCACAAGACTGTTGCTCTAGATGCCATCACAAATAGCAAGGCCCCATGTTACCCACAACTTCTGTCTGACTTGCCTGCAAATCAGAAGTTCCCACTCAAACATTTGCTAGAACAGCTTTCACAACTCAGGAAACACTTATATTTACCTTTTTATTGTATAATAAAGGATGTGATAGGGGATACTGGTGAAGAGGTACATGTGGCAATGTCAGAAGGATCCTAAGCCCGGAAGCTTCTGTCCCCATAGAGTTGGGGTGCACCACCCTCTGGGCAAGTGGATGTGTTCACCAAGCCAGAAGCTCCCCAACCCCCTACTATGGAGACTTTAATGGAGGCTTTGTCATGTAAGCATGATAGATCATTAACTCCATTTTCAACCCCTCTCCCCTCTCTGGAGAAGGAAGGTGGGACTGAAAATTCCAAGCTTCTAATGATTTTGTCTTTCTGGTAACCAGCCCTAATCCAGGAATTCACCCAGGGTCACCTCATTAGAACAAAAGATACTCTTATCACCCAGGAAATGCCAAGGGATTTAGGAGTGCTGGGTCAGGAACTGGGATCAAAGACTAAATGTTAGAGTAAAATATTCTCCTAGCACCTCTATTTACAGGGGTCAGGAATGTGGAACAAAAACCAACATGTGTATTTTCTTATTATTTCACAGTTGGGAAGAAAGGAAGAAGGTCCGAAAGAATGCCATTGAAGGAAAGTCTAGTCTGCTTGTGTATCTCTAGGACAAGCCCGTGAACTTGGCATAAAAATCTTGGAGCTTTGTACCAGGCTGAAAGTTAGTGGCTGCAGGGAAGGATGCACAGGCTGTCAGTACAAGTCAGGGATAGAGAGACGTTTTAATTTTATTTGTGTGACTATTGCATGCTACTGTGTCAAGGGTTCTCCAGGTTCCGTGGAGCTTAGAATTAGATCAAAGGGCACACACAGAAGCACGTGCCCCAGGGATGAATCTTGACCAAGCTATCATAGGTCATATGAGACCAGTGGAGTGGAAGGGGAATGTAGCCTAGGGATCATAGAGAAAGCAGCAGTAACACTTTGATTACACACTTCTAAATCAAGCATTTCTGGTGGTTCAGAGGTAAAGAATCTGCCTGCAATGCAGGAGACACAGGTTCAATACCTATGTTGGGAAGATCACTTGGAAAAGTAAATGGCAACCCACTCCAGTATTCTTGCCTGGAGAATTTCATGGACTGAGGAACCTATTGGGCTATAGTTTATGGGATCACAAAAGAGTTGGATATGACTGAGAAACTATACAACAACAATAATCAAGCATTTGGAGACATATGCTAGCTACAAAGTGGTTTAAAACCCAGATGGACTTAAAACCCTGCTCTGATGGCTGAATGATGTGGACCTGGCTGGAAAACAAAAGAATATCAAGTGTGCATGTGTGTGTGTGTGTGTGTGTGTGTGTGTGTGTATGTGTAGAGAGAGAGACAAAGTTATTTTAAGAAAATGACTCACTTGATGTGGGGCTGTTAAGTCTGAAACCTACAGAGCAGATCAGTAGGCTGCAAACTCAGGGAAGAGTCTAAGTTGAAACTCAAGTCCACAGGCCTTCTGGAGGCAGAATTCTCTTTACCTCAGGGAACCTTGGTCTTTGATCTTAAGGACTTCAACTGATTGGATGTGGCCCACCCACATTATGGAGGGTCATCTGCTTTACTCAAAGTCCGCTGATTTAAATGTTAATCATTTCTTTAAAAAAGAAATACCTTCATAGCAAATCTAGACTGATGTTTGACCAAATATCTGGGCACCATGGCCTGGCCAAATTGACATATAAAGTTAACCATCACAGGGAATGAAGGTCAGCAGGTCTTAAGGGCCTCGGTATTCAGAAAGTTGGGAAAAGGAGAAGAAAGAAGTCTCTTTGTCAAAGCTTCTATTGCCATGTTTCACTGTTTCCTCATTAAAATGAAACAAAAAGTTTATTTTAATAAAAAATTAATTAATGAAAAAAGAAAGAACACACCGTGACTCAGAATCTGAGCGATTACACATGACAGACTCATTCTGGAGCAGGAACCCAGACCCCAGACTGAATGCGTGCTCTACCATTTGAGCATTCCTGGAGGGGGCTGACCCAAGGAAAGAGGTGTGGGAGCCTCTTCCAAGCTCCCATCTCATACACTCAGGTCTACCAGACCCTGCCATGACCAACCAGGCAGGGAGGGCCAGATCCTGAGCTGGAATTGCAGTGGTGATTGGTCAGTCTTCTACAGAGGAGCCCAGAGGCCCACAATAAGTTTGGAATAGCTTTAGCCTAGATGTGGCTCTCTGCTTCCCCTACTTTACAAGAGCCTGACAGGATCATTCTTGGCTGTAGACTCATGTGGATACGCACCATGAGATGCAAACCCTACCTAGTCTTCATGACGGTCCAGACCCCTTCCATCCCAGCCTCTGACCCCATCTCTTCATCTCAAGTCTCCATCTCACCCTGATGATCTCAACAGAAACCCAGCTGCAACCAGACCCTGCCATGCAGGACACCACCCTTGGACTCTCTACCCACTGGCCACTGTGGGCCTGATCCCCAGAGAGAGATCAGCCCCCTCCCATGTTCTGACCTCTGAGACCCAGAGCCCACCACCCACTGTGCTCACCTCACCATCATCCTGGACATGGGCTTCCAAGCAGAGATTAGGACTACTGCTGTCCTGGCATGGCTGGCCCTGTCTGCCCCTCAGACCTCCCATTCTCTGGGCCAGTGGGGCCAGGGAGGCTAGGAAGCGGGGAGGTGGGTGCTGCACACCTACAAAGAAGTACAAGAAAGACTGAGGGTTTGGGGCGGAGACAGGTGTGCAGTCCTCTTGAAGATCTGGCTCCACTGCAGGTCCCTGCCAGGGCGAAGGGGACAGCTCTGCTGAGGGGACCTCCCAGTCTGAGACTTAGGTTTATACTGAGGTATTTGGTTCCCTCATCCACAAAGTCTGCCCGATTTGCCAGGGACAGCAGGAAGGTCAGGCAAGGCTGCAAGATTCCACAAGGATTAATTAAGGCTGGTTAGGGCTTCCCAGGTGGTGCAGTGGTGAAGAATCTGCCTACCAATGCAGGAGATGCAGGAGACATGGGTTCAATCCCTGGGTCAGGAAGATCCCCTGGAGGAGGAAATGGCAACCCACAGCAGCTTTCTTGCCTGAAGAATCCTATGGACAGAGGAGCTTGGCTGACTACAACCCAGAGGGTCGGAAATAGTCAGATATGACTGAGCATGCACACACGCATGCAAGGCTGATTAGCTGCCAAGGTGGTGAAGACAAGTGGGGCTTTATCGTAGCCTTGGGAACCTCACATAGCTCCTACTGACTCAGTCTTAGATCCTTTGGAATCCCAAATCCTCTGAGGTTCTCTTCTGTTCTAGCTTCCTTCTGGCAGACTTCAGGTTCACTTCCTTCAGATGTCTGCCCGGATGCTATCAATAAGGCCTTCTGTGACCTTCCCACTGAAATTCCTACCTTCCATGTTCTCCACCTCCTTCCATTCTATGCATTTTTATAGCACTTAACACCAGTTGATGTTTTACTTACAAACAAACTTAATTCAATTATTAAAGCTCCTATCTACAGGATAAGAGCAAAGCTTTTTAAAAATTATTTTTTGGCATGTTTTGTTTGTTGCTCTGCCCCTCATGCCTGCCTCATCAAAAAGGCTTAGTGACTAAATGAAATGTCAAAGCCCAAGATGATATTTGCACAATCCACTTAGTTTACGGACGTGGAAGCAAAGGTCCAGAAAGATGGAGGGCCTTGAAGTCACATACTCAAGGTCAGCTTGGAATTCACATTTGAGGAACTCTTAGTTGCCATGATAAAATAGGGAGCTACTGTGTATGTGAGTGGAGAGCCCACCTCAGTAGGAGACCTAGGCTTCATTTCTTTGTCCACATACAGGGCCTGGAACACAAGTTTTCAAGATTGGGTTCTCTGTTCCCGTGGCCCACCCATTTCCTTCCCCTCTCCTCCAAACTTCTTAATAACAGTCTTGATAAAAGTGAGGATAATATTACCAACTTTACTGAGTTATTGTTTGTGAAGCTGCTTTGTAATGATCTGAATATGATCTTGCAGGATGAGTTTTTAAAGCAGGCTCCCCTGGGGCATCAAAGGGCTAGAACACTAGAGGTTGGAAGCTCTACCTCTTCTGTTTATAGGAAGGACTGGAGATGGAATGAAAGGCGGAAATATTCCAAGGGAAAACCATGAAATTGGTTTGTTTCCTGACTGAGAGTGACAGGCTGCCCGGCATATATGGGATTCATACCAAGTATGAGCAAATTTTATGCCCCCCCGCCCCTGCCACCCCTGTCAAGAAGTTCATGGATAATACTTAGTGTCAAAGAAAACAAAATTGTTCCATTACTAGGAAATAAGCAAACTGTCTTTTGTAACTTGGTCTGAAGCCTGAGAAGAATCAGACAGCAGCTTGGAGGCCAAACTTGCACCCTTTGGCTTACTACTCCTGGGTGTCAGGGCTCCTGTCTGGTCAGCTGCTCGTGCCTGTAGACAGCCTGCATCATTCTCTCAAGGCTTACTGAGTTGAAAATCATTAAAAGGTAGACTGGCAGCCCCAGAGGCAACCGAGCTATTTTTATCTCGCTTTAGACAACAAGCCTGCCATCTTGGTTTGATTCACTGCTTCCTTAGCCTTTCTTCAGTGGGCCACTTCTATGAACATTCTGCTTGCCTCTCTGTAACCCCTCCCTTTCACATACACATTACAAGGTCTCTTTTTGCCTTGTTTGCACAAGTCACTTTTCCACAGACTAAAGTTCGGTTTTGCTAATTTAACATTAGCAAATTAACAGTGCCACACATGCATGGGAAATTCAGTATTATTTAATGTTACAACTTTTGTCCTGTGTCTGTACATTATGATTATGCCAAAAACAATAATAGAAAAACAGGTGCATATTTTACTATGTGTTTGAGAGGCTGAGAAATGGTGTGAAGGTAGAAACATTATCAATGAAGATATCTGTTCCAGAGCTCTGCTCTAAATTACTGGAAAAGTTTTTCATTTCCTTCCTAGAATAACAAATAACCATGAAAACTAGGACTCCAACTAACTACAGGGCCAGGACTATCCTGCATCGCTCAAAGAATGGACTTGTTAGTTTTTAAAAGCAGAGAAGTGCTGGTGTGACCCTTGGATGCTTGTTGGATTCCCGTAAGGGCATCAAGTGAAACAGACCAGGAAAGGTCCAAGCGCCCAGCTTCCCTCCAAACAGCTGCAGGGGGTCCCTGTTCCGCGCCTATCAGAGTGTTCAGCATAGTGAGTGAGAAACACAGATGCAAAAATGATAATGTGACTAATCTCAAAGTCAGATGGGAGGGTGTAGTGTGAATGGTCACTCAGCAGAAGGAAGAGCAATTACCCCTCCACTGCATGACCCCCAGTGGAGCATGGAACTTCCAGTGTTCAGAAGAGGCTACGGCCTCATGTCTAGAAAAGTCGGGAAAAATTTCAATGAGGAATAAAAAGAGCTGTGTGTTGATAAAAGGGAAGGAAAAGGAAGGATGTCCTAGTAGTAATCAACAGTATGGGCACATTTCCTAGTATTTGCTTCATAAAAAATATTCACGCACTTGAATCCACCCTCCAGGCTCCAAGGGAATCCTGCTTCAACTGTGAATCTCTTGCTAGTAACACAAGCCCTCTGATCACCCTCATTCCTGGTGGCCAAGGTATGTCTGCACAACTCACTTGCAAAGTGTCATCAAGATTACGCATTACTGTTTTCCCTATGATTTCCTCCTGGTTTTTAACTGGAGCATGGTGGTATGCTCATGTATGTTAGAACTATCACAGTCGCCTAGACTTTGTAGGAAGGAGTCCTTGTAACCAGGGAAATGACCACATTCTCAGGCCAGAGAGATAGTAAAGATGTACCAGCAGAGGAAAATGTCATAGTAACTCCCCTTTCTTTCCCATGTCTGGTTAAGGTTGGGTACAGCTGGATCTGGGCTTCCCTGGTGGCTCAGCAGTAACGAATCCGCCTGCAATGCCAGAGATGTGAGTTCGATCCCTGAGTCAGGAAGATCCCCTTGAGGAGGGCATGGAAACCCACTCCAGTATTTTTGCCTGGAGAATCCCATGGACAGAGGAGACTGGCGGGCTACAGTCCACGGGGTGGCAAAGAGTCAGATATGACTGTGGCAACTGAGCACGCACGCACAGCCAGATCCATCCATTCTCCAGCTCACAGGTTGGCCTGCAGGTGTCTTCTCCTCCCCTTCTGCTTGCTGACAGCTGAAGGAGATAGGCCAATAAACTTTTACTTTGATGGACCAATAAATTCCATGCCTTGAGTTTCATATCTTCCCCTCTGCAGAACCCATGCATCCGACCTAGACAAAGACGTTTGTTTTGAATGGAGTCAGGGTTAGCCCACATCTGAAGTTCTTTTAGGTCTATAT